ATTTCGATTTCAGGTTGCGGCAGTTGTGTCGGGAGTGCAAAAGTGGGATCACATCCGGTAGTCTTTTTCGGGGTCGGATCACTACATACACTCATCTCCATAGAAGAAGACTCCTCGGATATGTGTGTTTTTATAATATTATTTGTCGTCATATCCGGAGCCTTCACTACCGACATATCGAGCGTAAGGGAGTTGATCAGCATGGAGGAATGCTCTTCAGGCCTAGTGACCTCCGTAAGCTCAGAACCCGAGGATTTTCTACCATGGTAATTCAGCTGCTCCGGTTCCATTGAGACATTGAACTGACTGGGAGTCCCTCCATCAGACTTGGTGGCCTCGATTGATTCATCGGATACACGGCTACGGAAATTTAGTCAAAGCAACACGAAAAAACATTCACTGAAGAGACACTTTCGTTTGGTTAGAAAACCAATAATATTCGACTGTATGAAGATAGTGCACTTTGTAGAATCATTGTCATTAAGACATGCGAATGAATTCCAATGGAAATTCAGCAGATGAATTGAGATCACGAATAATTTGTCTAAAACGAAGGTTACAGTTCTGTATTTTGGCAAGTAAAATAAATGTGGAGGAAAAGAAAACAGGAATCCCAGCATCTTAAAAAAGAAGATTGGAATTATAAATAATAATCCAACTTTGGATAGTTCCCAGACCCCATGCACACTATGTACGTCTATCATGTGTTACGTAATTAACCGATTTTAAGACAACTTATGAATGCACCAGATACGGTTTTGTTCAGAAAACAATCTACGATCAATAACTGCATATATTCTGTCTTCACATAACTTCTAAGGGAATTCAGTTCTCCGGGTCTACGTATTTTTAATGACCGTTTAAATCCTCTCGTCAACCAAAGTTGCCTTTAAGGAATTGCTTAAAAGTCGATGAGCTGACTTTCGTGTAGTTGGAAGACATTATTTACCACATTCTGAAGCAATGACCATCAATGCCGAAAGAAAGGCGAGTGAAAACATCATATTGGAATGAGCTTGCTGAAAGTGGTAAAAGATAGAAGCCGGGTATTATCTAGCGATATACAATTTCGTTATTGCTCATCGAAGCCCATTTATACTCAAAGGGCTGGATGTAATTCATCAGTCTAAGCTGTAGGGTTAAGACAAGGATGACAGCGTTCGAAAGTAATAACTAATTAAACTATAGTAAGCAGTGAAAAGATTTTGGGGAAACGGTGACTCTGAGGGGCCATGCTTGAGAAATACAAGACAGGTCACATAACACTCAATATTTTTCATAAAAACTCATTGTGATGAATAGCAGAAGGGGTTAACCCGACGGGGCACACTCTCCACTTATGATAACAGGCAACTTAAGTCCAGGGAATTGGAGTGGTAATCCGCATAAGGTTCCAATAGGACAACCGTGGAGATGAACCAGACAAAAGCGAAGATTCCTACTGACAAAATTGAATAGTCGTTGTAGAGCTTGAACCTATAATCATCTGCCTCAAATTAATACAATGGAAACGAATTTAATCACCAGATTACCACTGCTACAGTTCAATACGCATCCCATTGAGAGTGGTCAAATTGCAAACAGCTACCGGTTCAGTTTACTATCAACCGATTATGAGATAGAAAAGAGGCGGACAGCAGCCACTGTTTGTTGCACAGTCCCCGAAAGGAACGCAAGAACCTTAAATTTTACACTCAAAGGGACTTCAGAAAACATCAGAAGACGATGAAGAAAAACAATTATACATCAACGATCTACAAGCAATCTCCTTAATGAATTGAAGACGCTGCCACCATTCAGCTCTATTACACTCAGAAAGTATACAGTTTATTATTGTAAATCTTAAGACCTATCGTGCAGGTGCACATGTCTACTAGTTTTAAAAAGCTATCATGCGTTGTGAAAACTGTAGGTTGAACATCACCGGATAGCGTACGGCCCGATTGCTCCGTGAAACAAAAACAGTAAGCTGACATCAGTGAAGAAACTGCGTATCCTGCTACCTCAACATGCAACGTAATTGTATCATTATATGATTTGAACAGAACCATCATTCAATAGACGTGTTACTTAACGATCAGTTAGGACAGGATAATTGTCAATCGATAAACACTGATTTCTACGGAGTTCGATGGTTACGGGAAGTGTATTGAAACAGAGCAAAAATAAGGGCGATCAGAACAAAAATAGGTGAAAAAGTTTAAAATGCCAATACTCATATGTTAGAATCATATGCGATGCGTCCAACTCCTCTGTTGAGGTTCACGCGATCTGCCAGATTCATGCTTGATGGCGCATTAGTATCAGCGTTGTTTGTGTACCTTTTCATGATCGATATGAAATAAAACCAATAGAATCCAGTCTCAAGTAACCATTTTCCCTGCTGTTTTCTGCTAAGTTTCCCAAGGAGGCTAAATAATATGACAGCTAGAAGCGAGCACTGAGGATAAAAGCTGTTCTTTTAACTTAATTTATTGTTAGCACCCTGGAATGGATGAGGCAAAGAAACAGAATTGAGGATAAAAGAATGCCATGAAGAACTCACCTGAGAGGGAGTTGAGACACCTCTGTTTCGGAACCACAAATGAATATAGTTCGAGAAAAAGAGACCCTTCGAGTGTTGGGTTCATACATTGAATCCTGAAAACAGACGCTACGGATACTAAAGCGACAACTTACATTTTTTAGGGGTTCAGGACACAAACGAATGGACTTTATAGAGGATAAAAAAAAATTAATAGTTTACTTACCGATCTTCGAGGTTTGTTGTGCATTAGATGTGTAAGTGATGATAGAACTGATTGCTTTCACAACTAGCTTCCTGTGTGGAACGGAGTAGTACAACGAACACACACAAGGAAGCGGTGCTAAAAAGTGACAAAGGAGCAATAAATTGGATACTCAAATACCGTGACTAGCTTAAATAATAAAACCAAGACCAGAAACTAGCACAATATATTCGAAATTGTCATTTTTACTGTTGTGGCGTTGGTACTAGGCTTTCCTGCAAGCCGATGATATATATATATAT